AGACTGGTTACCTGTCCAGGTGAACCTGCCTTCACCCTGAGTCAGCTGGGATAGGCTCCGCCCCCTATGACCCTGGTGAGGATTAAGCGGTGTGTAGATAACGGATGGATTTAGATCATTTTCTTCATGGACCTGCAGCTCACAGGTGATGAGTTCAGGGACTGTCGGTTTCTGCAGCTTCTCTCTGAGGAACGGCTACAGAGTCTGTGTTCCAGGTTCTGCTCAGTATTTGGGTCCATGAAGGAGCTTCTCTGAGGCCACAGCGTTGGTTCACCTCCTCTCAGATGAACCGTCTCACATGAAGTCCTTCCAGACTGAACGTCTCTAAACGTGACCTGCAGCTCAGTCAGTGTTTAGAACATTTTCTGAACCTGTCACACGTTTTCATCGACATGTGGAGGTGTGTGTTGGTAGTGCGCATGCTGTGTGTTTGTCAGCAGCTATGTGGTTCCTCCATCTGTGGCTCTCTGTGGTTCTGCAGGTTCTGGTTCAGGTTTTACTGGATGGAAGAATGATCCATTCATGCAGCGCGTACATGAGCCTAAAATAGAACCAGAGAAGAAGAAGCTCGTTGTGTTTTTGTTGGAACAAGAGGAAGGAGGATCCAGACTTCCTCAGCAAACAGGAAGTGAAGCTGGACGCTGGCTTCTGTTGTCGGCTCGTGGATCTGAACACGGTGAAGCTGAGTCGGCACCAGAATCCAACACCTGCGATGAACCGACGACACACGGAACCATTAAAGCACTAATGAGGTCATGTCGTGTCTGAAACGGTCTTTAAAGTCTCGATGTTTCCTTCATCACGACGTCGATCCGCCTGCTCCACCTGAACTTTAGAACCCGAGCAGAAGCCGGAGGTTCAGACCGGCGCCGTCACAGTGATTCTCTGAGAACCACGGCGCTGAGTCCAGTCTCCTCCGGTTCTAGTTGTTCCAATGAGAGCATTTCAGGGAACGCCTGGGTTCCACGTCCACAGTCAGCAACGCGCCGCCTGATTGGCCCGGAGCTCGCTCTTCCTCCTTCAGGTGTGGCTGAACGCTCTCTGTCTGCTCCCGTCCAGGCGTCCGGTCCGACAGAACCTACAACCTGTGGCTGGGCCTGGCGCTGGCCCTGCTGTCGGCCTTCCTGATTGGTGGCAGCGTCATCCTCAAGAAGAAAGCCCTCCTCCGATTGGCCCGCGGCGGACACACCAGAGCAGGTGAGTCGCTGTAGCTCCGCCCCTCTGCACCTGTTCTCTGATGTCGTTCAGGATGTTTTCTCTCTGTAGCCGTCTTTGTGTTTGTTTCTCTCTTTAAAGTCATTTGATCCTTCTTACAGGGACTCCATTTAGATGTTTTGCCTCCTTGTAGTTTCTTGTTTCCTCTCGGGGTATTTCTTCTGCCCTGACTGGAGCCTCGGTCGTACTGGATCGCTCCTCAAATCTGTCCCACCATCTGATCACAAGCTTCACTGTTACTGGTGCAGAAGGAAGAAGATGAACCTAAAACATTCTGATCCTCAGTTTGCTGTGATCCAGGCTTTCCCAGCCGTAGGGTTACTGTAGAATTAGACCATGTGACCTGAACGCTAACTGCTGCTGGTGTTTGCAGGCGCCGGAGGCCACGGCTACCTGAAGGACTGGCTGTGGTGGGGAGGCCTGCTGACCAGTAAGACTCCATCCTGCTAGGAACATGTTAGGAGCTGAAGAGCCAGGGTCACGGGTCTGTCCAGGTCACAAACCACATCCTAAACACAGCATGAACCAGGTCCACCACACATCTGGACCAGCGCCTTCACCTGGACCTGGTCGCTACACCTCATCTAATAGATTTAGAGACGAGGAGCAGATGTTTAATTAAAGTTGATTCAGTCTGAAGCAACACCAAACATAAACCAGCACAGAGGAGCACCCTAACCCTAACCCGATCACGGCCTCCTCACGGCACCAGACAGAACTCTTCTGTCACAGGACTCAGTCAGAACCGTGGAGACCAGAGAAGGAGCTCAGAATCTGTGATTGTGTGTTTTACAGAAATGTGAAACCCAGTAATGAACCGGTCCAACATGTGAGCAGCACTGGGACCAGTGGAGGCCCACAGTGGGGACCTGGTCCTGGTTTAGTCTAGCTCGAGCCCCGTATCAGCTTTTTACTGTTTTTAAATAAGACCTGCAGAACAAAATGGTTTTGATCAAATATCATGAGTTCAGCTGGAATTTGTGAGTTTCTTCTGACGTGTCGTTCACAGATGTTCTCGCTGATGAACGGCGTTGTTTCTTTAAGTGGATGAGCCTCTCAGACCTGCTGCTGGACGTCCACAGCATGAAGGAGAAGCTCCTTTATGCGATCACAGACGTTATTGTCCTGATCCGATCGGCTCACACACATCCACAGCTGGTCCTGGTCGTGCTGAGCATTAGTTGGGATGAGGGACCTCAGAGATCTGATCTCTGGAATCAAACGCAGTGACGACGGCAGCAAACAAGTCGAAGCTGCTTCACGTATAAATCCTGGACGTGTGCGTCTGTGACTTCCTGTCTGAGCGTTTCCCGTCTCTGCAGCTTTACGTGTCTGCACACTGACAGCAGAATAAACAGGCTCTATTTGGTTTGTGTTCTGATGTTGCTACGCTAGCAGTTTCCCCTCGCTCCCAGTGTTTGTGCTAAGCTAGGCTACAGACGTGACCCTGGCCTTCTGCTCTATCTGAGGATGTGTTCGGCGTGTCGATGACCTCTTCCTGCTCTCTGTCTGCAGTGGCTGCTGGAGAAACCTGCAACTTCGCCGCCTACATGTTTGCGCCGGCCACGCTGGTGACGCCGCTGGGCGCCCTGAGCGTCCTCATCAGGTAGCCGAGCCTCATGTTTCACCTCGTATGCAGAGGTTCAGGAAGGTTTCCTGTTTTACTGCTCGTCAACGTTACGTCCTGGTCCATTTCTTTTTGTCTCTTTTGAAACAAACAAAAAAGAAAATCAAAAAACAATCTCTCTTCACAGCGTGAACACATTCCTACAAAGTAAAGTTGATTCAATGATAATATAAAAGTGAGTGACTGAGCTGATTGGACCCTCACAGGAGCGTCCGGCTGGCCTCATGTTCCTAAAGAACATGGTTTGTTTGAATCAAAGAAAGAAACCCAAACTTTAACAAGAAGAACAGTTCAGTCTGTAGCCTAAAATGAAATCCATCAACTGCCAACCAGACGGTGTGCGACCGTCGCCCATCTTCCTACAGCGAGGACGGCGTTCAGCTGCTTCCTATCAGCCCTCGTTCACCCACAGAGCTTCAGGTGTCTGATTCTGCTCTCCTGTGTCCTGTTTCAGTGCGGTTCTGTCCTCCTACCTGCTGGGGGAGGCGCTGAACGTGGTGGGGAAGCTCGGCTGTCTGCTGAGCGTGCTCGGAAGCACTTTGCTGGTGATCCATGCCCCTCAGGAACAGGAAGTGACATCACTGCGGGACATGACCGACAAGCTGCTGGAGCCTGGTGAGAGGAGCCATTCCCAGTCTGACCTGACGGTGGCGCTGTTGTCCCACTGTGACACAGTGATGTTGTTGTCACGGTAACGTGATGCTGCAGCAGGTTTGACAGGATGTTACCGGAGGGTCTGGATGTCAGCAGCAGCAGAACCTGAGCCTGGTTTGGTCCTACGACGAGTGTCAGGAGCCATCAGGAGCTATCAGGGACCATCAGGAGCTATCAGGGGCTATCAGGAGCTATCAGGGGCTATCAGGGGCTATCAGG